GCAAACTCAAGCACTGTAATAAGGGTTTGGGCTTTGCCCAATCAGCTGAGATTTGTCTGCAGGCTCATAGGTCATTCCCCCTAGCAAGCTAAAAAATTCACTTTCAAAGTGGTTCATAACCTGTAGAAACGAAAGCCCACAGCGTAACATCTCAGGTAAAAAATCCAGTGTCACTCAGATCAGGCTTACGGGCTGAAGTCTGGTGATTATGAAGTGAACTCTGTTGTTGCAAACCTGTGTGAGCATCAAAGTCTGTCATCACTTTTATTGGCAGGTGCCATGGGCTCAGACAGCAAGAGGGCAGGATGGGAAAGTGCCACGGAGCCAGTCAAACAGAGAAACAATGGAGAGGAAGAGAGCAAGCAGCAGCATCGAGCATTTTGATTTTTCTAAAAATGGACCTATTTGTGTAGTGGGAACTAATTAAAACTTATGGTCATGTGGTTTGTGTTAAATGTTAAGTGTTTCAAAATGGTTAAATGTGTTCTGTGGACTTGATGGAAATGGGATTCTCTACCAACTAATTGAGGGAAGGGGGAAAACATGGAAGGGATTAGTTTTCTAGAAGGAAAATGAAAATGAAAAAAATATGATGTCAATTTACTTTTCTTCCGCATAGGGGATTTGAGAAGATTTATCTTAGCTTTTCTGGAAGGACACATATGCAAATCATAGAACCATGGAATTTCAAGTTTAGAAATCCTTTGCAGTGGCCAGTCTAAACTCCTGTCTATTCTCGGGATCTACCACCCTGCATCCGGCTTATGCGCAAAACCTGTCACAGAGAATATTCACTTCTTCATTTCTTTTCAAGGCAACCCATTCTATTTTCGAGCCAATCTGGCTTTTAGAAAGTTCTTCTGTCTACTAAGTAGGCAATCTGTCTTTTTACAGTCTCTGCCTATTGGCCCTACTTATGCCTTTCTTATGCTTTTAATTATCTTTAATAATTTCACAGTTGGAAAAATGAGCTAAGTTGGGTTAAGTAACTTGTGCATTATTTCATAGCTACTAAATAGCAGGGCGAGGACCTAAGTCAAGGTCTGCCAGAACTGCACGTCTCTTGTTCTTCCCATATGTCACCCAACCTTTCACTCTAGAGGAGGGAGGAAAAGGCAGTCTGCTACCTAGCACAGAGGACACCTAACAAGAAGTGAAGGTTGAGGTCAGAGGCGGGAAGGGAGACTTGGTGAGTGGGGTGATGGAACAAAGTAAAAGGACGCCCCTCTCTGATCAGGGCTACACTTTCTTAAGCCAGGTCCCTGTGGTTATCTCAGTGTAACTCACATCCAGCTATTGACAGCTTTCCACCTGGTGACATGCTTAACGGCCCATGAAATTCTAGCCCTCAGGGCTCAAGCCTGATATTTATGGTTCCCCACATAAACCTAAAGTGGATTGTCAATTTATCTCTCTCAGATGTAGGTGGCTAAAGTTGCTGTTCCAAACTCTGCAAGGGATAGTCGACTTGATGGACATGTTGTACTAACTTTTAGAAAGATTAGGTCAGAAGGAGGGTGCAGAAAGCTGTGTGGTTTGTGGGAATGCTCCCAGAAGCCCCCTGGAGCGGAAGCCTTTTCAGATCTTTCAGGGAATGGATGTTATGGGGGAGGGCAGTTGAGTAGAGGGATGTAGACTGATTTTGTACCGTAGAATAGTGGCATGTTTTGTGTAATCAAAAATCTGTTATAACAAAAAAAAAAAAACTAGGAAGGTTTGCAAAGGAGCAATCTAGAGAAACTGTTCAGCTTAGGCAGGAAACTTTTCCTAAGCTCCAGAGTATGCCAAGTGGATACTGACATAGCTAAGCATGTATGTAGTGGGACATATCTAAATAGGACTACTCTATGGTGAAATTTGGACAAACCTTTCTGAGACCTTCTCCAGAGGCAAGCAACGTGTGGTACTTATATGAGATTTGACACATCTGGAAACAGCGGCTTTTTCGTCTCTTGCTTCTCGGAGGTGAACTTGCACCATATGCAGGGTGTGACTTAAATTTCACTGGCAAGTCCTGACAAGTACGTTTAAGAGAAAACCTCCATATGTTTCCATGAAAGGATGGGGACAGAGTAACAACCGCCAAAGTGATAATATTTCCTCTGCCTCGTATCCACTCGCTAATCAAAACCCTTCAGTATTCTACTCCAAAAGGTTCTTCCTCTTTCTACCACTTACAATATGGATTGTTAACAGAAGGGCGTGGTCAGGGGCTGTGTGGCGTATTGGAAGGGACTCAGACATTAGAGGCAAAAGGACCCGGGTTTGAATCTTAGCTTTTCTATGTATTTATTGTATAACTCTGGGCTTCTTTCTTAATCTCTAAACCTCAATTTCCTAATCCATCAAAAGGGGATTAAAAATACCAACCGAAACATGGTTATGAGGATAAATGGCATGAAGAATTGAAAAGTAAATAGATTTATAAAACAAAAATATTGTTTGCAAGGGGTTGGCCTAGTTCCTCCTTTCTTCTGGAAGTTAATTTGCTTGAAAATTCAACCATGTACTTAATCTTCCTCCCTAGGGACCAACAGAAAATTACAAACTCCTGCGTGGAAAGCTTCATGAGGGCTCCGCAAATTGGTGCTCTGTTCTCCTGGTTCCATCCCACAGGACGAGATAGTCTCCCTGTATGAATGTTCACACCGTGAGAAATCTTTCTCACCCTCTCTCCGTGGAATTTCTCTCCCCAGTTTTTGAGATATCTTCAACTCAAGGCCAAAGCAGGGGTTTGAACGGTGTTTGGAAACCAGTGTGAACCAGTGTGCTTTCCCCTCCCCCACTCTGGGGGTGGGATTTTCAGGCCAACTTTTCTGAAGCTACTTGTGAGTTAACCTGAAGTTGGAATGCCCTCCTGAGGTCGAGACATAAAAGCCAGCAGCGTAAATAGAAACTGAAGCTGAAATAACCATAAATGTTCTCGAACAACTTCAATAGAGAAAACCATGTTTGATCCTCTCTGAGCTTCCTGAAACCAAGCTGAATATTTGTTTGTTTTGTGGTAGCTCAACTTTTTTTTTTTTTTTTTCAGGCCTTTTAGTGCATGGCTGTTGGTTTCTCTGTTTAAAAGGAAAATGCTTTTTCTCAGTAACGATGTTCGCATTCTGAAGTTGGTGATACCCACTTCTAAAGGCCATTTTATTGTAAAGATAAAATTCTGCTAAGTCTTAGGATGAAAAGATAAAGGATGTGGTCAGTTACCATGACTCGTGCTTACCTCCCAAAGTGTGTCATTTGGTGCACATACCTCAAAACGTGTGAACAGAAAGTTTCTAGGTTTATTTTTATACATGGAGATTTGATTCCACGGCAGACGGAGGGTGTCAAGGTAAATGACTGTGCAAAAATGACAGAACTGCATTTTGAGCTTTTGGTTGCCAGAGATACAAAGGCCAAGTTAAGGTGAGTTTGTTATTTGATTGCTTTTTGAGGGGTCTATGGGTAATTAGCGCTACTGTTTAATATTGTAATATTCATGGGACCTCAGTGTTTACACAGCTCCATGGATGCTCAATCCAAATTAAACACGCCCAAGAACAACACAGGGAGAAAACACCCGGGGGCAAAGTGAGGGGCTGCAGTCACGAGTGATCAGATCTTTGGCAGAAGAGAGCAGTAGAGGAGCCCTTCCTTTTGGCCTTCTTGCTGGCAGATGTGTTTCAACACCGTTAAACTACATATGATATTGGACTGATTAGCAACTCCTAACACAGAATGTTCTGAAGTTAGAAGAGCTAGGAAGTGGCATGGCAGGGCTGACGTGCTTGGCAGAGTTTTCAGATACGCATGCAGTGTTTTTTTCTACACCCTGCCCCCAAAATGTCAATGTCCCTAGGTTTCTGTGTGTTGCAGAGCCCCTCAATATGTGTGTGGGAGGCAGCACTTGAAGCCAAGACAGCAATGGCCGGATCTTCTCTCGGCAGCCATGGGAGAGTGCCAGGTGTCAGGAGCAAGAATCTTATATGCCGGTTTTGTTTTGTTTTTTTTTCCTGGAAGCAACTGGAAACCAACTTAGTGACACTTAAGTCCTTCACCTGCTACATGAATGCAGCCAGTGTATGTGAGTCAGAGTGGTACCAAGAAGGGCCCTCATCTGAACAGCCACAAAAGTGACGGGCTCTGGCTTGGAATGGGAATGTTATACTATGTTCAGAGTCATGGCAACTTGAACTTGGCAGCTGTATCGGCTTCTGAGATTACAAGTGCCCCACGGCCAAGTGCACCTGTGAGGAGCGTTGACTGTGGAGTGGGATATAGACTGAGAAACCTCTTTCATAGCTGACAATCCACGTAAACTCCTTTAATATGTGAATGGTTAAGTAGCAGTTTTAAGTGTTGGAATTACCTGGCCCTGCTTTACCATCTTCTATATATTCAATATAAGACACACTGGGAATTACTGAAAGCTTACCTCTCCCCGCTGAGAAAGGGTGGGTGGTGCTTAGAATTAAGAGGATGTTTCCAGGCTGTCTTTTGTTTCCATCATCAAAAGAGATAAAATTAACTCTATTAGAAACTGAGGCCTCCTCTGTGAGGTATGTTAGTGATAAGTTCTCTTTGCAAAAAAGCTAGTCTTCAGAGGATTGTTAAGATCAGATTTCATGACAGACATGTTTCAACATATTTGTACTTCTCCGAACATGCTACATTTGCTCTCATGTGTTGTGATTAGCTGGTTTCAGTGTTTAATCCGTGGCATGTGGCATTTTTCTGTAGTAGCGTTTCTGTGGAAAACTTTTATCCTAGGCTTGTGGGAGACCAGTTATAATGCTTTGGGTAAAGTATGTCCAGCATTTCTAAAAGCTGCAGTTTCCCAAGAAAATGATCTATGGGCACCTCAGGTTAAAATCTTCAGAATTATTTTTTGTATTTTCTTAAAGTGATTTTTAAAATGAAGTTGAGAAATGGTACTAACAATGCATCCAATATTGATATAATTAGGATATGCATCATACTCTACTAAAGTCAGCCTTCTTAAATAAGTTCATATATAGACATAAAGAGGTATGTGGTTTATTGTATATCAGATTTTTCATTTATCTGCACATTCTTCAGGATCATATTTGGAAGGCACCTACGTGTTCGCTTGCAAACAGATGAGACACCGTCATGCTTTCTAAAGCATGTTCTCTCCTGCCCTCTTCCTCCTCCCTCAGTCTGCCTCATATTAAGTTAGCCAATCGAAGTCAGCATTACAGCCTCCCCTTTGGCCTGTGTTCTCCATCCTCCTTATATAAGCCTTGGTGGCCCCACACCTCTTCACAGCCACCTGGCCGGGCAGCCTGTAATAGCTGTCTCACTCTTCCTCCTCCTCACCTGATGCCTGCGGCTGACTCAACTGCCTCTGGGGTATGATCCCACAGATTCTGAAAACAGCTGCAGCCAACTGAGGGTGACTTCCTGGTCATGCTCATCCAGGGTACACAGAAGGCTCTATATCAATAATGGGCATCCTCTGACGTGTACTTTTCTCGCAACAGTAAACACTTTACATGACGTTTTTCAGTATCTCCTGAGTATAAGGTGCTGGGCTCTTCTCTCTTTCTGAACAGTTTTAGTTCTTTAGTTCTAGTGAAGAGACAGCCTTTGTGATTAAAAGACAAAAAAATATACTAGTAATAATAAGATTTTGCAAGGCAATCACCCAGTCCCCTCTTCTGGTTTGTTTTTCTGTCTTTCACTCACCTCCTCACTCTTGCCTTGGGACCAGTTGTCCTTTTGCTCAATTCTTTCAGCAAACAATTAGTAACAAAGCTGCAGGCTCTGGCAGTGATCAAAACACTGGCTGAATCTGCCAAGGTCTTCCAAGCACTTCGAAGAAAGGCCGGGATCTGCAAAGCCAGGCAGATTTAGGGTGTCACCTATGCAGGGCTTCATAATTCTCTGTCTTTTCTGGCTCAGGGAACCACCCCATGGGGTCACTCACAAACGCATATGCCTTCCCTCAGTCTTCTGTCTGAGTGTGGCTTAAGGGTATAGGGACTAAGGAAAAAGCTTCAGCCATCACAGCATATCTGAGTATAAAGGAAAGATAGAGAAAGTCCTTGTACAAGAAAACTGAGGCCTAGAGTTGGCAAGCTCTACCCAGAAAGTTAGCAGGAAGGGCCACAGAATGTACTCGAACAAAAGCAAGAATGACATGGCCCATTTCCCAGTCAATACCAAGTGAACCATTTTGGAATGAGAATAGCTAGTTACATCGCTTGCTAGACTTCTCTTCCAGGTCATAAACACCTCCTACCACAGGTTACTGAGCCCAAAAATAAATATGGGAAATTGGCGTGTATGCCACACTTTGTATTTTCTGCCTTCTTCTCAATCCTTAATTAAGCTCCGCAGCAGCCACCCTGTGAAGCCGGTCATTATCACTGGGTGAGGAAACGGAGTCCCACAGGAGCTATGTGACTTGCCCAAGCATACGAGCCAGACAGGCTGGGCAGGGTGAGACTTTCCAGTTTCTGATGCCCACGCCCCATGTGCAATCCAGCCTCGTCACCCTGGGTCTTGGTGCAGGGAGTAAATAAACAAACAAATGATCACATTGCTTTTACTTCTGGAGAGCAATGGGTTCTTATTCAAAATAGGAACAAGGGGCAAAACAAATTGGCAACCAGTAACAAAATTATTGGAGGACAGTGGTGCCACCATTCGCGGGCTTGGAAGTCTGGTCTTTCTGAAGCAGTGCATTCACTTTCAAGTTTCCCTTTATTGCTCACATACCCGGGTTTTATTCAGCAAAAGTGACACATGTCTCACTAGGCAATGGGAATTCAAAAGTGATGCCATGAGGTCCACCTTGTATTCAGGTTCAAAGCCATGTGACCCCATGTGATACGTGCTGTCATAGAGAGATATCTGGAGAAATACAGAAGTTCAGGAGAGGAAAATTACCCTCCCTGGGGGATCAGGGAAGGCTCCATAGATAAGGTGACATTTAAATAGAATCTGAAAAGATGAGTTAAGAGTTTGTGAGTTGGAAGCAAGGAAAAAGAGCATTTGAGCAGCTATGGTAGAGTTTTAATAAATAGTGACTTCAGAGTCTACCCCTATATTCAAATCATGTTCCCTATAACTTACAGGGTAAACCTAGGAAATAATCAGCTCAGCTCTCAATTCTGGTGACAGACTCTCCCTGTCCTTTGAGATATCCCTCAGTGTACTTTCCTAATGCCAAATGAAGGTCAAGACCTTGCCAGGGTGTCTGAGAATTCCTAGCTTTGAGAGCATACGGGGGAGGCCCCAAAGTTGTGTTTTCATGCTCACCTATGGTGCGGAATTTCTGCTTTTTACTGATTTGTGTCAGTTCATCCAGATATCTTTTATATAGAGAAGTGTGTATATGCGTCTGTGTGTACATGGCACATATATGTATATGCTATATATGTGTATAATAACATATATACGAAATCAGTCCCTTAATTAAAAAAAACAAAAACCCTATTTCACTGAACATTTTACTGCAGTGGGAAGAAGAGGATGGGTAGTAAATAATGGGCTTCCTTCACCTTCACACAAATGACTTCAAATTGATTTGTAGGGAAATTGGTCACCTTGGCTGATGCCTATAATCCCAGCACTTTGGAGGCTGAGGCGGATGGATCACTCGAGGTCAGGAGTTCAAGACCAGCCTGGGCAACACAGTGAAACCCCGTCTTTACCAAAAAATACAAAAATTAGCCAGGCATGATGGCACATGCCTGTAGTCCCAGCTATTCAGGAGGCGGAAGCAGGAGAATTGCTTGAACCCAGGAGGCAGAGGTTGCAGTGAGCCAACAGAGTGAGACTCTGTCTCTAAAAAAAAAAAAAATTATCTGTCAGGACCTTGTTGTTAGAATCCTCTAGCAGCTGAGCCACTGTAGATGTTTTTTTTCATCATAGCCATTTTGCCACATGCCCTTTCATCTCCCTCCTTTGTCCTTTTTGCCACTTTCGTCCATCTCTCTCTCCCACTCTGAGATTCCTACTTCCTCCTCTCCTCCTTCCTTCTCTCCTCCCTCATGCCACGATCCTCCTTGCCCAACAGTCTCTTGATTCCTGCCACTCATATCCTCAAGGTCATAGCTTATCATGGAATTTTTGTAAACCAGGACAGTTCCTTCCCTAAGAGAGATTTTGGAATTACAGTGTTTTTAGTTTCTACTTGTTTATGTGACTCATTATATCTCAGCACATAGCATGCTTCCTGGCAATTAGGGGGAAATCAATATTATTTATTCTATAGATGACTCAATTAACGAAATAGTACTTTAAGGAGGATTGCCTTTTCCTATTGTTTTACTATACTGTAATTCTGGCCTTGAATACTGAAAAAAAGAAGGCTTAGCCACCTTCATAAGACAAGTCTAGTGACTGGTCCCCGCAAGGGGAGATCCTCCAGCCACTGAAGTCAGGCTACCTAAACACTCCAAAGGTCATGTTCGTTAGGCCAAGTGGCTACTTGGTCAGGCCTGCCTAAAAATCAGGAAGGAGGACACACACCAGCCACAGCACACGGCTTGTCTCTTTGGGAAGAGAAAGAAGGAGGCATGGAAATGTGAAGGGTACAATCATAACCTTACATTTCTTTTGAAATGACCTCAAACAGATTGGTCTACATGTAAAACAGTTGTGAAAATTGGGGAATAAGGATGTGCGTTTACTAAGTCTCTGCATGTTTATATGTTAATACTTGGTCGTTTAAAAAACATTCCGTAATTATAAAAAAAAAAAAAATCCCATGTCAAGGATGCCAATTGAAAATGAAGTTGCCCTTCTAATGAAGAGACATTTCAAAATATAATCCTCTTCCAATAAGATACATACCTGGGGTGGTCAGCCCCCCAGAAAAGAAGATGACTTTCACTGAATGTTACTAGCATGGGGCAAAAACCTCAAGTTTCACAAGAAGTTCTTGTTGCTTAAGTTCTTTGAGGCCTTTGCCTCTTACCACTGTTATGTGTTTAAATCATTAGGGACCTGTGTCAACGACTCACATACCTGTCCACAGAAGCCTTCCCTGGTTGTTTGAAAGCCTTAAAAGCTTGGTAAAATAGTCCTGTCTCCTCTCCCTCATGCTGCCTGTATAAGAAATGCTACAAAGAGCTGTAAGGAATTTTCTCAAATTAGTCCCCTCCCCAAGTCTTTTTCAAGGCAACATGGAAATAGTATTGCAAAATCAATCATTTTTTTTTTAAATCCCAGTGGCTTCCTGTGCTATTCTAGTAACTTCCTGGGAAGGTGAGAGAAATGCACAGACATTCCCGAAGTCACTTTGGTTACTAATAAGTCTCAGAGAAGCCCTCATCACGAGGTTCCGTCCAAGCCGCCACACACTGTCCTGAACCTTCCTTCTCAGTTTTTTATTTATTTTTTCCCATTCTAGAACAGCCAGCAAATGATTTCACACCTTTTTGTTTAGCTGCTAAAAGCAACACAATAACTCCCCTCAGGGCTGCCTCTGTGGGTTCCAAAAATAAAATGGGCTCATTTTCATGCTAAGCATTCAAAGGCTCATAGGAATTGTAATGAAAGGCAAAGGAAGGAAAGAAGGAGAAAAGACGGGGTCAGGCTAGGGGGTGTCGCCAAGGAGGTTCAGCTTCTGCCTGGAGTTATAAGCCACCCCTGCTGGAAGGCATAGGTAGAAAATAACATAGTGCCTAGGCTACAGATTAAAAGGAGATCTAATACAACTCTTAAACGCTCCAGCCTTATCTTCTTATCTTCTATCCCCAAACCCAAGGTTATTCTTGGAACACAAACTATTGTTCACCAAGAAGAGCAGTAGCCTCCTTCAGCCTTCCAGATGAGAAATCTCTTGAATAGGCCAGTGACTTGCTTCCAAGTCAGAATATAAAACCATGAATCTCTGAGATTCTAGGTTAACTTTTGAAATTCAAAGTTATCTGGGCCTAAATCATTAGCAATAGCAGACTTATCATATTCCACGCATGACAGAGTAGAAAGAACTCTATTGATGCAAATCAAATAATATTAGCCAACATAGAATACATAAAAAGATTTCTCTTTTAGTTTAATTCAATGTGTGCCTGTATGTATGTATTTATTGGTTTTGAGACCAAGTCTCGCTCTGTCGCCCAGGCTGATGGAGTGCAGTGGCGCGACCTCGGCTCACCGCAACCTTCGCCTCCTGGATTCAAGCAATTCTCATGCCTCAGCCTCCCGAGTAGCTGGGATTACAGATGCACTTTACCAGGCCCGACTAATTTTTGTGGTTTTAATAGAGATGGGGTTTCGCCATGTTACCCAGGCTCATCTCAAACTCCTGGGCTCAAGCAATCCACTGACCTCAACCTCCCAAATGGCTGCCATCGGGCCCAGCCTGTATTTATTTTTTAAAGACAACATCTCACTCTGTTGCCCAGGCTGGAGTGCAATGGCATGATCATAGCTCACTGCTGCCTTGAACTCCTAGGCTTAAGCAATCGTCTCACCTCAGCACCTAGAGTAGCAAGGACTACTGGCATGCCACTACCACACCTGGCTAATTTTTAAAATTTTTTTGTAGAGATGGGGTCTTTCTTTGTTGCTCAGGCTGGTCTTGAACTCCTGGACTCAAGTGATCCTCCTACCTCAGCCTCCCAAAGCACTAGGGCTACAGGTGTGAGCCACTGTGCCCAGCGGTGTGAAGAGATTTCAACTGAGAGCTTCCCGGAGTGTGCATGTTACCCACCTACAATAAGAGGAATCCTTGTAGGAAGGACATTGCTGACTAGCGGTTTACTTGCCTGAAATTTTAACATCCAGAAAAGGCAGCTGCTCATTATATTTCCAAACAGGGCTTTACTTAGGTATGAGGCCAGACTGTTGGAAATGTCCCCCACTGACTGGACCAACTCTGCCTTTCAGTAGCTTCTACTCACCGGTTCCAAATTTGTCCCATGGAATGGCACCAAATCTGTCTTTTCATGAGAGAGCTGCCAATAATTGACAACTATCAGGTCTCCACCGTCCCCTCCTTTTTAAGTTAGGCATTCCCGTTTTCTTTTTTTCCTCCTCGCATGGTTTCTACTTCCTTCCCTGGGATGTGATCCACTTTACAGTGTCCCTCTTAAAGCACGGCCCCAGAAGTGGTCTCACGTGCACAGAGCACAGTGGAAAGAATGACTCCCTGCGCTAAAGGACATACTATTCACACAGCCTGAGCTCACCTGAGCCACTTCTTTCAGCAGATGTGCTGCATTGTGGGGTCACTTTCCTTTTCAAGATCTGTGAAGAAAGGGCACGCTAAGCAAACTCTAAATAGGTTTGCTCAGAGAATCGCAATGCTACTTAAAGGTACAAAATTTTTAAATGGGTTAGAAGGCTCCTTCGACATACAAATACTTGACTTGCAAAATGTAAGTCCTTACTTTTTTTTTTTATTAAAGCAGATACCTGAAGTGCCTGTACTTGGTAAACTTAATATGAGTTACTATATGTTGAGTGTTTGAAAATTTTCTAATTGCATTTCTTTAAAATTATCCCAGGATTTAGTCTTTCTGTCCACGGAATTATAGAATCTTTAGAAACGGAAAGGAGGCCAGGTCTGGTGGCTTACACCTGTTATCCCAGCACTTTGGGAGGCTGAGGCAGGTGGATCACCTGAGATCAGGAGTTCGAGACCAGCCTGGCCAACGTGGTGAAACCCCATCTCTACTAAAAATACAAAAAATTAGCCAGGCATGGTGGCATACGCCTGTAATCCCAGCTACTAGTGGGGCTGAGGCAGGAGAATCGCTTGAACCCAGGAGGTGGAGATTACAATGAGATGAGCTCGTGCCACTGCACTCCAGCCTGGGCAACAGAGCAAGACTCCATCTCAAAAAAAAAAAAAAGAAAAAAAAGGAAAGGACATAGATTTTTCAAATCCAGTCACCAACTTGCAGGACAATATTATTACCCCATTTTACATATTTATTCAGAATCCACTCATCATATGCTCCCCAAGGACCTCCTAGGTACCAGGCATTGTTCTAGGTTTATTCAGCAATGAAAAGCATAATCCCATGCCAGGTGTGGTGACTCATGCCTGTAATCACAGCACTTTAGGAGGCTGAGGCAGATGAATCACTTGAGGCCTGGAGTTCGAGACTATCCTGGGCAATGTGGCGAGACCACATCTCTTCAAAAATACAAAAAATTAGCTGGGCATGGTTGTATGCACCTGTAGTCCCAGCTACTCAGGAGGTTAAGGTGGGAGGATGGCTTGAGCCTAGGAGGGGCTGTAACAGAGAGCTGAGATCACACCACTGCACTACAGCCTGGGCAATGGAGCGAGATTCTGTCTCAAAAAAATTGAAAGAAAAGAAAAGCATAGTCCCCTTTTTTCATGGAGCTCACATTCTCATGGGGGAAAACAGAAAATAAACAGATAAACAGTATTTAAGATACTTTCACATTCCACATAATGACAAGTGCTATGAAGAAAATAAATTAGGGCTGTGATAGAGAGTGACTAGGTCAAGGATGACAACTTTTAGGAGGAAACATTTGACCTAGGAGAAGGTTTCAACCACAGGAGAATCTGGAAGAAGCTCCAAGCCATGGAAACAGCAAATTAAAAGGCTCTGCAGTAGAAATAAACTTGGAGTGTTCTGGAAACTGAAAAGGGCCAGTACAGCTGGAAAGAAAAAAAATTAATAGAAGAAAAAAGCAATAGCAAGTGGAGTCTAAAAGGAAAGCAGTAGGCAGGGGCTTGATCACATGGGCCTTTGAAGGCTGTGGTGAGGAGCTTGGATTTTACTCTAAGTTCAGCCACGGGAGGGTTTTAGGCAGGGTAGGGGCATGATGTGATTTACATTTTTAAAATGCTCTCTCTGCCTGCTATGTGGAGATGGATTGCACAGGGTTTAAAAACAGAAGGAGGGAAACTAGTTAGGAGGGCGTTGCAATGGCCTACACGTTGGACTGACATGGCAGCAATGACAATAGAGAGAAGTGGATAAATTCTAAATGTATTCCAGAGGTAGAACCAATAGGACTTGCTAAGGGAGATGCAACTGATGTCCAGGGTGCTTAAATAATTTGCCTAAAAGGGGAGAAGTGGAAGAGCACCAACAAATGCTGAGCGCTTAGTAGTGCCATGTACTTTACTCCTAACATGTATCCTAATGATGCTGTGAGGGGAATATTATTTTACCCACATCTTCTATATGAGGACTCTCAGGCTCAGCGAAGTTAAGTAACTAACTCCAAATCAAACACAGAGTAAGTGATAAAGCTGGGATGCCAACCCGTGCCTGTTTGGCTCCATATCTTACAATCTCCCTCCACTATACAACAGTGTTTTCCAAAGCAATGGTAGAGGAGAAACTGTGAGCACAGACTCCTGGGGTAGGATTCCTCCTACCCTTTTCTTGCAAATTATTGATGCTTTATGACATTGTAAGCAAATACCATCATCAACTGCACATCTTCCCATGTCGTTATATTTAATCAAAACAAAGACGCCTTTCTCTCATTACTCTTCTACCACCTTCCCTTGTTCCTCACAACCCGTGAGTCAGGGTCGGCTCAGCTTTATGCACTTTAACTATCAGAGATGGGAACCCGCCTCCCCTCCTGAGGTGCTGTAGCTGGAAATTGCTTGTGCAACCCGATGACAACTTTTCTATATTTAGCAGAAAAAGTGGTGGCAAGGATCTGTCCAGCTCAATTTTTTTTACAGTTTCAATGTTCGAAATCTCTCAGACAGTCTCCTGAAAGGCACATTGGCCTTGACAGTATCTGAGCGGCAGGAAATTTCCCCCATCTCACAGGGCTGTCCACTGGAAGCCGGGACGTGGAGATCCGCTGTACAGCAAAGACTTGACATACTGAACGCTCCTCCCACACCTTGCTCTACACCCCACGAAACGGGGAGACGCTGGTCCCGTTGAAGCTTCGATGGCTTTTAAGTGTTATTCTAAGAAGGGAAAATAAGCATGAAAGATTCAAGGGGGAAATGGACTATTACTTAATTGTTTATGCCTTTAATTGATGTGTATGGCACTTGGTTTTTATTTCTTTTCAATGTGGCATGCAAAAAAAAAAAAAAAATGCAAAAGCCTGCTTGTGGTTTAAAGAACAAAGATAAACTTGCCGGATTGAAACAGGGGGCAGGGGGTGAAAAAATTGCAGCAGGTATTTCAAGTGCTTACTATGACAAAATCATTGTCACAGAGACTGCCCATCACTTACACTTAAAGTGACTAATTCGAGAAGGAGGCACGGTTTCGCTGTTCTCAAGCCAGACTAACGCAGATGTAGTATGTTGCCCGTGACTCTGACCCTCATCCCCATTGGTCAGCCAGAGAGAATTATCTACTAATGAAAAGCATAAAAATTAATAAGAGCTAAGAAAAGGGGAAAGTAGAGACCATTAAAGTAAAATGGGAATCTTTAAGACAGTAAAATAGTGCCGACCGTATCACAAAAAAGGGAAGGAACGGGGGAAAAAAATTATTTCCATTGAAAACTTACTTATAGCCCTCTGCTTTTTAACATGCAAGATGTATCAATTGTTGGTTGTCAAGGGAAAAAAAAGCCCACTGCAAAAGAATTCCTATTAGCTTTAGAAATAGCAGTTTTAAGAAGTAGTTTTTTCATAACTTCATCCAGTCCCCAGCCTCATTTTGGATTAAATCTTATTTGGAGCAAAAGCACTTGGTTTAGATATGTCCTGTCTCATTTTCACAAAACCTCTTCTAATGAGATGAGTTTTAGTGTTACTGTGTCTATTAAGGTAAGAGGTGAAGAAATAGAAAATCCACTTTTTGTAACTTTGCACTTCTTGGGACTAATGCTTCCAGTACTGGGTTCCAGATGTTAATTAACAGGCCATTATTAAGAAAAAAAGCTTTTATACAGTTTGACCAAAAAAAAAAAAGAAAATACAGTTAAGTAAGAACAAGAAAAAAATCACCTGTAATCCCATCACCCTAAGCTATCCACTGTTAACAAGCCTTAAAAAGAAAACAAAATTATTTGGCACACACCTTGTAGAACCCCAACAGGACTGTTGTCATTCAGGCCTTCTCTCATTTTTTATTTGGTGACAGTTTCTGGCAATTTTCTACAGATAGATGAGTTGATATCTTTACTCGTGCCCTAGAAGAGAAAGGATCTTTTTAACATTAAATGTCTCAATCTCCTCACTGGAAATTTTCTTTTCTTAAGATGAACCAAAAGGTACCTAATTCTTCTTTATATTACTGTTTCTACAAATGTCAAGAAAGTCCTTTCTGATTTTCTGTGTCATAGCATGAACCCCACCCTTTATAGACACAAGAGCGAACACTGCATCGTTTTCACCTAAGACCTAAAACTTTAAAGGCAAAGATTCTCTTTCTCTCATAATTTTAGACAGCCTTCTGGTATGTCATCTTGGCCACCTTTTAAGTTGAAAGAAGTAAGAATAGCTAAAAGAACTTTAGAAAAAAAGGAAAGAAAAAAGAAAGAAAAGGACTAGGGGTGGAGAAACTACTGATAAATGAATAGGCAAAGAGATCAGTAAAGTGCTGAAAGAAAAGCCCAAAACATAATCTCGCATATGTAAAAATAGTCTTGCATATGTGTCAATAGAATACATATATAAGCTGTGGGGAAAAAATAGTCGACAAATCCGTGTGCGTGATGATTTTTAGCTTATCAGAGAAAAATAAATTTTTTTCATGCCATATAACAAATTAAGTCCTAAATAAATTAAAGAAATAGTTTTGAAAAATTAAATAATGAGAACATATTTCTGCATATTTATCTAGATACAGGCAGATTTTCTATACTTTACAGTAATAGAAGAAATTACCGAATACAAAGGTCAATACATTGAAATATAGAGAAGAGTAAAATTTCTATATGTCAAAAATGATCATAAACAATCAGCAAAAAGGACAAAAAGCAAACTTATAAGAAGATGTATTTTTTCAAATATTAAGGCAGAAAGTTAATAACCTTAATATATAATGTGTTTAATTAGTCTGTAAACAATTTTCAGCCTTACCAGTAAATACAAAGTATCAGAGGCCTAACAAGATAGCATGATTTTTAAATGACATTAAACAATTCAGTCAGTTTCAGGAAGACATTAATATACTGTTAATATAAATTGATACAGCTTTCTTGCTGATAGGTACTAAAGTCTTGAAAAATGATGATACTCTTTGATTTGGTAATCCTACTTCCAGTAGATTATTCTAAGGAAATAATTTAAAAAGTAAAGATTTATGCACACAAAAACCATGTTTATTTCATACTATTTATAATGGCTAAAATTCTAAACACTCTGAATGTCCTTTATTAGGAAAATTATTAATAAATTATAGTCATATGATGGCAAATTATACTGCCATTAAAATAATATTTAAAGAATTAGTAAACACATGAGAAGTTACTTTTGATTGAACAAAACGTAGTATGTGAAATTCTGTGCACAGAATGATTTTACTTGTGAAGATTTTTAAAAGCATAGGAAAAAATAGAAAAAATACTGGCAAGAACCCTCCCTGGATGTTAGTGGTGGTTGCATTTGGCTAATAAGGTAATTTGAAGTGGTGATATTTTGCATGCTTCTTTTAACTTCTTTCTACATTTCAAATGTTCTACCAGGTATTTATGTACTATTTTTAGAAGCTTTTAAAAAATAAGAAAAATCAAACTACAAAAATGAAAAGGAGCCAATGGTAGGCCTCCTTTTCCTTCAGAAATCTATGTCTTGTACTAGTTAGTAGGTATAATCAGATACTTCTAAGCCAAGGGTGGGTACTATTACCTACTTTTAGTCTAGTTTACTCCAGAGGCCAGATTGCTAGATGATTTGCGGGGGCGGGGGTTCGCTATTAAAAGTAATTGCAAAAACCGCAATTACTTTTGCATCAACCTAATAGTTTCTCTTCTTCCCCTTTCTCAAGTTTTAGTTTCCTCTTCTCTTTTATTCCTTCCTCCCACATTTGATGCAAGTAGAAGCCAGGGGAATGTAAGCATCACATCCCTACCTCTTTCTAAGAATGGAAAGATGGGATTGTTTTCACCTGTCTTCCAAGCCTGGGTGGACAGACAGACAGAAGATGAAGAACATGTGCTTCTTGTTCGGGAAAGGAAAGAAGTGGTTTCTGTGGGATGCGGGTGAGCTTCTTTAGCTCTCTCTTTCTTGTAGAACTAAGGTTTCTAGAGACGCACAGAACATTCTTCCTCAAGGAGTTCATTTGAGAATCAGATGAGAGATTATTTAACCTGAAGAGAGCTTTTGGCGTTTTAAAATGCTAAGTCTTACAGACTCCATGACCACTACCACTGCTACCACCACAACCACAGAGAGCGCCGAATCTGAAAATACAGGAACTGATCTGAAAATACAGGAACTGAAAATTCAGTCAGTCAAATTTGGAGCTGATTTGGGCAGAGGATAGGAGATGAACAGGCTGAGGATGTTTCTCCAGCCAAGACCACAGTGCAGCATTTTTTTTTTTTAGTTGAAATTAAAAAGAAAATGCAGAGTGTGCTTTGTCCCACTCATTTACCCTAACGATCTTCAGCATGTTTCTGTTTCTAAGGAAATGGAGGGCCCAGGTCTGTGATTCATTTCCGGAATGCCACATAGCATCCTTGGATGAAAGCTCCTCTATCCAAGACGACTTGGGAAACGCCTTTTAAAGTGTTCTTTCCCTCTACATCTTGGAGGTCCATTTTGATTGCAGAAAGTACATTTTAATCAATAGAGGCAAATGCAATTAAAATCTGAGTACACAGATTTTGAATATGTCTGGTAAGAAACACCTTAATAAAGATGACAACTTGACAACCTCCTACAATTTATTACAAAATTGATTGTGGCTATTCTTTAAATATCTAGAACCCAGGAACCAGGTAACTCTAGCTTTTAAAATTAAATTGTCTTTGCATTCAGTGATCCCCGTTTCTCCCCTCTCCACACCAAAAAAAAAATCGAATTTATTCCAAAACACAGAATTCAGCAAGATGCTACCATCACCCTAAGGTTTAACATTCTTTCTACTAAGTTAAAACAGCACATTATCCTCAAATTTGGAGGTTAGGAAGAGATATATATGGGAAGATATAACCTAACAGCTATCCTTAAATTGCAATTTGAGGGCCACCGTCATTTGCATTCTTCTTGCCCTGAGGCGACACATCAGTGTGCAGAGTCATGGTGGCGGCAGCCTGGCCTGGGTGACAGAAACCATTAAAGGGAAGCAGAGGGCCAGGCCATGCTCCCTGGGATTCATTAGCTTACTCCTTGTGTAGAAGACAAAAGGTATCTGCAGGGCTCTGGGCTTGCTAACCAAACTGTTAATCGCTTAGAAACAGCAAGAAGTTCACTAGTGAGATGTTTATCACATACCTGGAACAAGAGTTGACTTTTCTGTGAAACATCATTCTGGAATGAAAGCCAAAATCTCTCTGCTAGTCAGTTAAGGCTGAAAAAATAATCACGTCAGAATTAGTAGGGCAAAAGAAAAGAGAGAGAAATGAAAACAAGCTGGTATTTAATAGGACTGGGGGGAAAATTACCTGAGCTTCAGTAATTACAGAAGAGTTGGGGTTTCGAGAAGGTAAAAAAAAGTGGGCCGGGTGCGGTGGCTCACGCCTATAATCCCAGAACTTTGGGACACCGAGGTGGGCAGATCATGAGGTCAAGAGATCGAGACCAGCCTGGCCAACATGGTGAAACCCCATCTCTACTAAAAACACAAAAATTAGCCGGGTGTGGTGGCACGCACCTGTAGTCCCAGCTACTCAGGGGACTGAGGCAGGAGAATCACTTGAACCCAGGAGGGGGAGGTTGCAGTGAGCCGAGATCGCACCGCTGCACTCCAGCCTGGCGACAGAGTGAGACTCTGGCTCACGGAAAAAAAAAAAAAAAAAAAGTGGTAGCACTGCTTCTCTCAGAAAGACAAATGTCTGGAATACCCAAGCCGCACTGACTGTCTCAGGTCATTGAGAGAGGCTAGACAGAGGACTGTGGGAAAGTGCAAGTACTAGGTAACTTTAAAGGACATCCCAAAAGTCCAGGTTGAAGTGATTTTTAATGAGAATGTGCATGCTTTGTATCTTTTTTACGTATTCTAAAAGTAATAGACAATTACAATTATTTTAAAACTCCATCATTACAGAAAAACATAATATTAAAAAGACCCCACCCATTTCCCTAACCCAGAGATTATCACTGTGAAAAGCTGGGGGTATTCTTCATATTTCTAAAGAATATACTAACATATATTTTAGTCTGTATAAGTGTATTTCATTCTCTGCTTCAACAAGCCCTTGAAAAGGATACTCAGTTTGCAACTTCACAGCCATGTGAAGAAGAAAATAATATTTAGGGATCATTGGTATATAATACCTTGCATCTCTCTGCAGCATATGAAATTGAGCTTCAATCCTATTTAAAAAAGAATTTCCGTGGTAAAAAAAAAAAAAAAAAAAACCTTTATATACATTTCTCAGGTTGGAGAAAGATAAAAGAAACTGCATATGAGATTTGGGCTGGGCAGTTGATTTTAAGCATGGTTCCTTTTAATTACTCAGCAATTTCAGGCAATCATCCACTTTGACACTATAGTTTTCCCTTGTCTACAATGGGAAGAGGGATAGAAAATCTGAACTTGGGGACTTGGTCTCTGAGCACTGCTACCAACTACACCTGCTTTTGGCGAATACCCAACTCTTCTCAGCTGAGGTCACACGTTCTGCCAGCTCTCAGGAACCAGGAGGCTTAATTACCTGTATTTTCAAAGACCTCTGAACTCTCTTAGGAAGGGGGCTATTTAAGTTCAGCGTCACATTATCCAGTTCCCGAAGCATTCATTTTATAGAGATAGAGAGGAAAAGTTCAGAGATTGAGCTGTGCTCCAAAGGAAGTTTGGAAAAACGTTTTCTATATATTATAAGTTAAAGAAATGCTTTGTGGTTTGAGAAAAATCACACTGTACTTCCACACAAATAACATACATATCAGAAATAAAATGCTTACATTAAATATTAATTTAAGACTATCAAAATTCACACTGGCACATGTTCACTTCCTCTTTCCTTTACTAGAAGGTGCTCTATGGTTACCTGCTACCAACACAAACCTGTGTAAAGTGCAGTATTGCTGCTGTCCTTTTATAGGTGCTGCTGTGGCACGACCAGGTTTGCATATTCTCAGATCCCAGAGCCAGCACCAGATTGTGATGAAGTTTCCACAAAAATGAGGGCAATCCATTGTAAAGCTGCCAACTTTATTTAAGAAATAAAGAAGAGTGCGTCCTTCCTACTTTTGGGGTATTGAAATGTTGCTTTCTTTTATGAATTAATGGTAATTGAAGATGGTGGCTGTGGGGTTTTTTTAAACACCCTTTTTTGATCAGATTTAAACTTGGCAACAGTATATTGATCTTCTCACAATTTCCCAATTTCCTTTTCTTTTCTTTTTGGATTTTACTGGCCTGCAAAATCCAGTCTCTGGAAAACATCGGTCTATGGCTAATTCTGTCCATATGGTAATAGAGAGAATGCAGATAATCACCATTTTTAGCTCAAAGTAGCAAATCCCTCCCCTCCCAAAACTTGTGCCTCAGCTAATGATAAGTAGGACACCCGATGCGTGTGAGTTGTATTTCTCCCTCCACCCTCTAATAGGAGTCCTAAAATTAAGCCACAGAAGGTCAGAAAAGAAGGAAGCAAGGGGAAAAATAATAATACTAAATAAACCAGCTGGCCAATGGACTCAGTGTCGATGAACAATGAATAGAAGTATGTCCTATCATTATTTGCAATATACTAAAAAATTATTCATTATGTATTTAAAATTCAAATTTAACTGGGAACTCTGCATTTTCTCTGGCCAACCTACACCCAAGTCTATCTGACCCATTAGAAAATACAGAGGTCGTGAAACATGCATTGAAGTAGCTCCTACACATACATGGTTATTAATAAAATACTCTTTTGGTTCTCTTGGGGCTTTCTAGTTTTCTTGTCTACATGTGAAATATTTAGATTATTTGGTTCTCATAAAAGTATACCCACCTTCTATTAAACCCAGAGAAGAGTAAAGCAAGTTAACTCGCCCCTGGTTGGCTTACCTTGTAAAGGAATTGATAGCCAGTGTTTACAAGCAGGCCCGGCCAAGTCGCCCCAGCAGCCCACCTGTGAGCTGGCTTTCCAGGTGCTGCAGAGTAATTCCCTGTAACCCACACTGAAGCTTCAGGATCTGAAAGTTTGTGGGTGGGAAGTGAGGAAAGCCAGGATCCTGTGAGGCTGCCCTTAGCCGTACTGGGCATCCGGCCAGCACACTTATTCTTTGTTTCTTGTTTTCCCCTCTGATGTTAAAACTAATACAAAGTTAAAAGCTCTACTTTTTTTTTTTTTTCAGTATTCTACCTGGCAAATGCACAGTCCCCCACCTTAGCGCAAAACAAAAGTAATAATAAAACTGTCAAGTAGTGCCAGTAACCTCTCTGGTAATATTTGCAGGCAAATGACTTTCCATCTACAAAGCTGACACCTATTTTCTGTTAGGGAAATGAATTGATATGAGCTGGAGATTGGCAGGGAAGTAGGAGTCTGGGTCAGATACCCGGTGTGCATTTCATTAAAATGCCTAGGAATGTCGATGGTGTTTTTTCTTTTCCTTGACCACCTCAAGGTTGTTATAGAAGTAATATGAGGGGGGAAAATGTGAACAGTGCTTATACATTCGAACACATGGGAGCAAAAATCAAAATGTGGAATCAGAGGCAGTTTTAGTGGTCCGTCAGTCACATAGCCCCAGATGGGCTGCTTAGGATTGGGAAAAGAAAGCTGGGTTAGAAAGTCTCATGCTGCTGGCCAGGCACAGTGGCTCATACCTGTAATCCCACACTTTGGGAGGCGGAGGCGGGTGGATCACCTGAGGTCAAGAGATGGGGACCATCCTGGCCAACATGGTAAAACCCCATCTCTACTAAAAATACAAAAATTAGCTGGGTGTGGTGGTGAGCGTCTGTAATCCCAGCTACTCAGGAGGCTGAGGCAGGAGAATCGCTTGAACCCAGGAGGCGGAGGAGGTTGCAGTGAGCCGAGATTGTGCCACTGTACTCCAGCATGCTGACACAGCAAGACTCAGTCTCAAAAAAAAAAAAAAAAGTCTCATCCTGGCCCAAATGCCATCTACCAGTGTGACTTTGGGCAGTTTGTGTTGTCCTCTGCCCATCAGTTTCCTCCTTTGCAAAGGAGGGGCTTGGACAGGCTAACACCTGGGCTGTCTGTTAGCCCTCTATCTCTAAGGAGGTACAGAGGAGAAAAGGAGTTCCTGAGCTGTATATGAGGTTCACCCACTTACCTGCTGGGACTTGAAAGGCTATAGATTTAAAATAACAAAGACACACTCCTTGGTTTCTTGGTCTGACTTCCAGAAACACAAGAGCAGTCATTCTTTTTGCCTTTCACTGCCCACTCCTACCTTGTCAGAAGACAGTTGGTTGGACCATGTGCTTGATCCTCCCAGGAGCCTGGTGAGCTCCATTGCTAATGGTTCCCTTGGACACTGTACACACAGGTCATTGTTAACTTTCTTTTTCAAAGCTGTTACTTAGGTTGGATGAAAAATAGACTTCAGCCATCGTGATTATTTATACGGGCATACAAAGATGAGACACACCACTCTTCTTGTTACTAAATCATACTCTGGAGTCTCAGAGTTTCTTTGCCATATGCTTTCCAAGGCTTTTCCTGCTGGGCTAGTTCTAGACAGAATCTGTATAAAACACTGCCCTTTTGGTCAGCAGTTCACAATGAACTTGGATGGGAAAATATATACTTTCCGAATCAGGGAATGTATATCCTGATTCTGTCCTTTGCATCAGTGTAGAACTCATGGTGGAAGACATCAAAGATTTCTATGGGGTTCTTTCCATTCTGAGCCCTGAAGCTCATTATTTCATTTTTCCAGGTTTCCTCATGTGATGGCTGTCCTTTATCACAGCCCGATAGCCAAATCATACATCTTCATTTTATCTTTGTTATTCAGAAGTATTCACCAGAGTTCCCTTTTTCTTCTTGGGTTTGTGATAACACCATGGAAGTTAAGCTGGGTTCCACCCTTGCCTTCCAACAGCTTTTGTGTTACTTTCATTCATGGAATACATTCTCAGTGTTGATTTATGCAGACACTCCTATAGCCCTTGCGCCTCCCTTGACCTCAGTTATTCCTAATCCCCCCATCTTTGTCCTGTGAATGCTGGCTGGCCTTTCCAAGATGGAAAATCACTGGATGACCCATACATCTGTGCAGCCCACACGTAGTACATTGCTGGCCTTTGCCCAAATTATGTCACCCCATTTGGGATGACCTGACACCATTGTGATCAGTCTGATGACCTGGCAGCACCCCATCTGCCTACCCAGTTCAGTCTTGCTCCATTTCAGTGCCTCTTACAGCAACTCCTCACGTATCTTCTTGTCACTGTCTCATGCCTTCTCAGTCTCAGCCAACATCAGCCCATTCATTGATTCACCTAGATAATTTGAGAACCACTATGTGCTCTGCCAGAGCGAATAACAAAATACAGTTCTTGCCCTCAAGGAGCTTAGACTGTAATGAGAGAGACAGACAATAAAGAATAAACAGTCGGCCGGGTGCAGTGGCTCATGCCTGTAATC